TGTGGGTACTTGACACTGGACTTCAGGCATTTTGGCATTTCCTTCTCCCCAGTCTTCCTCCAGACTCTGGCACCTTGATTTCCGAATGACATGCAAAACTGAGCAACAGTCCAGTGCTGCTTCTCTGTAGCCCAGGTCAGGCGCTTCTGCCGCTGTTTCTTGTTCAAAAGTGGCTTGACCTGGGAAATGCGGCACCTGTAGCCCATTTCCTGCACACGCCTGTGCACGGTTGCTCTGGATGTTTCTACTCCAGACTCAGTCCACTGCTTCCGCAGGTCCCCCAAGGTCTGGAATCGGTCCTTCTCCACAATCTTCCTCAGGGTCCGGTCACCTCTTCTCGTTGTGCAGCGTTTTTTGCCACGCTTTTTCCTTCCCACAGACTTCCCACTGAGGTGCCTTGATACAGCACTCTGGGAACAGCCTATTTGTTCAGAAATTTCTTTCTGTCTTACCCTCTTGCTTGAGGCTGTCAATGATGGCCTTCTGGACAGCAGTCAGGTCGGCAGTCTTACCCATGATTGCGGTTTTGAGTAATGAAACAGGCTGGGAGTTTTTAAAAGCCTCAGGAATCTTTTGCAGGTGTTTAGAGTTAATTAGTGGATTCAGATGATTAGGTTAATAGCTCGTTTAGAGACCCTTTTCATGATATGCTAATTTTTTGCGACAGGAATTTTGGGTTTTCATGAGCTGTATGCCAAAATCATCAGTATTAAAACAATAAAAGACCTGAAATATTTCAGTTGGTGTGCAGTGAATCTAAAATATATGAAAGTTTAATTTTTATCATTACATTATGGAAAATAATGAACTTTATCACAATATGCTTATTTTTTTAGAAGGACCTGTATTAACTTTTAATTTGTATGACAGCGGGTAGGGTTTTCCTGAAACCAATAGCACTTTTATTTTATTATTTATTTACATTTCTCAATGCTAGTTTTTAAGATGTATTTAACAAATGTATTTTAAGAAGTTTAATATTAATATAAATATGAGCAAATGAAGGAATCCGATGTACATTGAAACTGCTTAAATCGACATATTCTTGACTCATGTTTATTAGATTTTAATAAGTTATTACTATTTAAATACTTATTCAGTGCTTTTGGAGTTTGACTGAGAAGTCGGTGTGTTATTAAATTAGCTTTCATGGGCTTTTAGGCTTTGTGTCCCATGTTTTATTATTTTCCGTGGTGTCAAATGTTCATTTCTTTTCAAAATGCCCTGCCAGATAATGTTCTCTGAATTACTGTCCAGTATCTGTCAGCCCAGAATAAACAGGCAGGATTGTACCACCTTGCAGATGCTGCCAATGTCAGTTCCCTGCCAAGTTAGCTCTCGGGGTCAGCCTTCATTTCGATAATACCGTTTCCAGGACGTTCTCTTCTGGTAATGGCTTTCTTTCAGATCCCAAATGAGCGACCATCTGTTATGCAGGCCTTGCTGAGATGAGCTCCAACACGTGATGTTACCGTCAAACATTAATGCTCGTATCTTGTTTGTTTTTTCCCTGCTTTAGAATGGTGGTTGGTCTCATTGATTAAACCATTGCATGCACTGGGGTGGAAGATGGTTCAATAGTTGATTGTATTTTCGACGTTGGATTGTTATCGTCTTCGATCCACAACCTTCTCAAGGGGTAGAGCGTTGATAAGATCAAGTCTTTGTATTGAAAGACAAGCAGGCTGGTATCCTATCACCTCTAACCTAAGGGTTACAACATGCTCTCATCAGGTTCAGCAAGGATTCATGATGGTGGATGGCTTTATCAGGTCATTAAGTGCCTGGTTTGTAATTTACCAGTGTAATTGGAATTGATAAGGTCTGTGTATAGTGCCTAAGATTCTCTCCTAAACCTGTGCAGTGGACTTCCCTGCGGATAAGATTGTATATTCCTGATTTGGGTCAGCATTCAGAGGGTAAAACCAGTCATGTAGGGGAAAAGCTTTTGGGACGTGAATGTCTAACCGAGGGCTGTATTGGAAAGCTTCATAGTGAAGTGATTTATGACCTTCTCACACTTCCTCACTGGGGTTTTCGTCCTCAAGGGCCTGTTTGCAGTGCACAAATATGCTGTCCTTTCACCTACAGTGCAGTTTCTGCCTTGAAGGAGATTGATTTGCGTCGTCTCTGCATAGAACCCCAATATTTGCTTACTCTTTGCATCTTATTTGAACTGTGTGCTGTGCATGGAGTATTGTGTTTAAGGTATATGGAAATCGTCGGCTTAAGCAGGATGCGAGCTGTAAAAACTTGGTTACTTTAGTGTAGTCATAGACATGCTGATTCTGATATCTTTACAACTTGCCACAGAGAAATCTAGATGTTGATGTAATTTTTCATATTTATCAGGAAGAAATTGCACTGTGCATTGTAATACTGTGAACTGTATTTTAGTATTTTAAAGATTGTTTTCATTGATTTTTCTTTCTCTGTATACTGCATACAGATTTTTGTACTTTTACATTTGTGTATTAATGTAAATGTGTTATTTGACACAAAAGGCAGGCCACTAGGAACTAATGAACGTCTATGAAACCTACATGTCGACCATATTAATACACACATGCCTTCATTCTCTGCCTTCAGACTTTTCACCTTTACTTGTGAATGTTTTTGTACTCCAGTATTGTAGTTCAGCATGATACGGTCTCATCCTTGTCTGTTTTCCTGGCTTTTACAAAGTGTAGCCTACAGTAACCAGTGATTTTGATTTAGGGAGTAGGGTTGTAAGATAGAAAAATGACTAACCAAAGTAGTCAGAGTTGAAAAAGTCACGTTAGACCATAAAACTGGACATTTTATGATGGTGCAATTTAACAGCATGATGACTGTTCTGCCTAAAGAACAGTGTTCCTGTAGGAAACAAGAGGGAGGGCACTTTGCACATTTTTATGGTGTTTTGTCTGGTGTTTACCACATCCCGTTTCCTCTTCCTGTTTCTTTTGACACCTCGTTGGGGTCCTCTTCTACTTGTGGATGAGTGGAAATGAGGGGGGCATGGCATGCCTGCATCACATGCTTTAAACCCAACTGAGAGTCTCATTTCTCATGTGTTTCTCCTGACAGAATTTTGGAAGTGAGATGCACTTTTTTTTTTTTTAAAAGAAAAGTCAGCATTGCAAAAGTAAATGCATCAGACATTCTTTTTTTTCCTGTTGAAAAACTTCTCGCCGTCTAACTCCTGCAATAACTTCATAGCGTACTCTCTTGGGAGATTATTCGTCATTTTATTGGCTCTAGCAACAGTAAATGTGGAAAAGATGTGTGAATCCTCAGCAGGAGGCGTTTGAGATGTTGCGTACATATATTGCACACAATAATTCTGTCATGTTGCGTCTTCAACTTCACTAGAAAGAGCCTGGGCTGTTAAATGAGGAACACAGCTGGTTGGCAGCTTTGAATTTCTTGAAGAGGGTTGCATGCAGTGCCAGACTAATAATTAAAGTACAAGAAACAGTGTCGCCCAACCTGCTGTGTTCGTAATCAGTACAAATGCTAAAACTACAACGAATGTCTTTTTGTTGTTGAGGAGTGTTCCAGTTATGCTATTGTTTTCCTTCCCTTTCCCCACCTAAATTTGTGTTTCGTAACATCAGCACCCTAATTAGCTGCATTCTTTTTTCTTTGTATCATGTTGTCGGAGAATCTTGCTGAGTAATGATGCCTTAAATGGTTGTGTGAAATGACCTAGAATACGACCAATTTTTAGTTATGGATTATTTGTATTATGGGGACAAAATGAAATCTGCAGCTTTAAATTAAAAACAGAAGTGTTGAACCCATGACCAAGTGCACATGCTCCGAAACATCCAAGGTAAGTGGAGTCTGTGATGACTTTACCTGCCCTCTTCCTCACTCTGCAAGAGTACAGATCCTTGAAGGTGGGCAGGGGTGCACCAATAATCCTTTCAGCAGTCCGGACTGTCCGTTGTAGTCTTCTGATATCTGATTTGGTAGTTGAACCAAAACAGGCCGTTACTGAAGTGCATAGACTCAATGGTGGCTGAAGAAAACTGTGTAAGCAGTTAAAAGTTATTAAAATGAATTAAAATATATGAATACAATGATGGTATTCTAAAATAATTATTGAATTAATAATTTTAAATAAACAATTAATCATTTATTTTATAAGAAATTAAACTGATATTTGAGAAAGCATAACAATTAAGACAGAAATCTTTTTTTTTTATTACTGTGGTTGTTGTTGAAGCTGCTACTACTACTACAAATAATAATAATAATAGTAATAATAATAGCCATCAAATTTGTTTTAAATGTAACAAAAATAATTCTTAGTTTTAATTCTATAATTATTATTATAATGATGATAATGATAATATTGGTAATGGTGGTAATAATAATACACTACTAATATAGCATCAAATTGTTTAAAATTTAACTAAATGTTTTATTATTATACAATAATACTATTTTTTTTATTATAAAAATATTGTTATTACAAAAAGCATTCATTTCAAATCATATATTATTTAACAGCTACATTTTAATGCGCAAACATGTTGCGGGTATTCAAATCATCAGTGTCCCAGTGTTTAGTGGATCCATATTAGTGGTATTGATAAACTGATTCACATCATGTGAAACTAAGGAGCCCAAGTCCAAGTCTATGAAAGGCTAAATGTATTATCTACACTATATTACAGCACCAGAGACTTATTGAGCGTTTCTTTTATCCATCCAGGATGTTGTTTTCGTGTCATCTACTAAATAATCTGACATGGCCTGATCTGTTGATCTTAACCTCGTCTTCTCTTTGAGGGTGTTGACTCGCAAGGTTTATATTTGTTGAGTTGTGGTTTGTTTGCTCTCTAGACAAGATTTCACCTTAGGCAGGGCATTAGTGACCACATCTCAGAGGCTCTGAGGTCTTTTTCATAGAGCTATCGGTTTTATTTCAAGCTACCGCTAGGCTCTGATCCTAGAGGTAATCCCACAGGATTTCTTCTCAAATGGTTTGTTGTCGTATTTATTCACAGGTAGTCTCAAAGGAGCCACCATTGTGGATGCACTGGACACGCTCTACATTATGGAGATGTATGACGAATTCGAGATTGCTACTGAGTGGGTGGACCGAAACCTAGACTTTAACATGGTAAGACTCAAGCCTTTTATACTCATTTCTGATGATCCAGTTGATTCTTATCCGTACAAATACTGCCTTGCTATAAAATTTCCCCTGAATAATACAAGAGAATCAGAATAATGAGTTTTTGATACGGCTTTGAAAACCTGTCTGCGTGCTGACGGAATGTCTACTAGCATCACCGCTTGTTAATCTGCCAATAAGACTCTGACTCACGGCTCTGGTGTAATGTATGAGGAGATGCTCCACATCCTCCAAGCTTCATAAACTATCTTCCACATCATGATTTCTGCTATTTTTCAGCAATTTTAATTGCAGACTCCCAGCCCCTGAACTTTGACTGTTAACTCCATGATTTGCTTTTCAGTTCACATGTTTGTCTGTTTATTTTTTTTTTCCAAAAACGGCCATGTCTGCATGACTTACATGGGTCCTATCATGAAGAATCATTTTCTGTATGATATTTTAGAAGAAATGTTTGAAACGAACAGCTAAAATGTGTGATCTGATCGTTTTATTGTGTGTGTATGGTGTGTTTCAGTCCATGACCCAATGCAATAAATAGAGCTAAGCAAGAGTGTCTGTTATTGAAGGACGGGGCAGTTAAAAACAAACCCTTATCTAATGTGTGAGCAGAAATGAAGAAAGCAAAGTTGTTTTTCCATTTGATATGCAATTTGTAGCAAAAAAAAATGGGGTCAGAGAAGGTAAAATTATCTTAAACTAAATTATGACTCTTTTGTCGTCATGTTTATATATTATTATATTATATCACATTTATACTTATTCACACTTCTGTTCAAAAAATTATTTTAAAGATGTTTTTTTCTTTGAAAAGAAACATTAAATTGATCAAGAGGCAGTGAAGAATTTTTTTCTAAATATTTCCATTTTAAATAGGCCTAAATGTTATAAGAAATTGTGTAATGAAAAAAAAAACGTATAATGGTTTTTACAAAAATATTAAGCACAACTGTTTTCAAAATTGATAATAATAAAAGTGTATTGACAACCAAATTAGCATATTAGAAAGATTTTTGAAAGATCACGTGACTGCTGATAATTTAGCATCACAATAATTAATTTATACATATATAATTATATTAAATTAGAAAACAGTTAAATTGCAATAATATTTCACAATAATACTGTTTTTACTGTATTTTTCGTCAACTAAATGCAGCAAGATTTACTTTTAAAAAATGACATTTGTTAGTATTAATACTTATGATAAACAATTCTTCTGCCAAGTAGTAGTTCATTAACGACAAGGGGTTTACAATTTAAATGAAGAATTTACATATAATTCTGATGATTAAAAAGTGTGTTCGCAGGTGTGAGTATATCTGCTATTTTCTGTTTTAAATGTGATTCACCCATCTAGATATTAGAGCTGGAATTATCAGCCTTTTATGAACGTCAATAATACTTCAGTAATATGAGAAGTGCTGAACTATTTCGTCTTCAGACCTGCAGATCAGCACTGAAGGTATTAATCTGATTAATCATAAAGACAAGTGAATAGTAAAATGGAATCAGTACTTTATGCAGATCAGTCCAGAAATTACTAAACAAAGTTGATGAACGAATTAAGACATGCAGGGTAAAGTAGGCCAAAATGATGCTTTGTTTGATGTGGCTCTTTATTGAGGTATTTCATTAGACATTCTGCAGGGGTTTACTTTTAGTTGAGCATCGGAAATTCTTCAGTACATCCTACCGCCTCAATTTAAGGCAAGAGAGAAGACTGTATCTTGTTCCAATGCTTTAATGAAGAGTGTTAAACAACTTTTAATTGAAAGGCTTTTCTTTCTACCCTCAAGCAATTCCAACAATGAAAGAGTCCACAAAAATCCCCTGTGAAACGGTTATTAATATTCAGCTTGTCTCTTGAATACTAAGCAACTCTTTTCGGATGCACGGAAGCCTCTTTTTTTCAATAGAATAATTGTAGCCATTGTAAGTTTAGTCATGCTGCTTTATTTGACCTCCGCTATCATCCGGTTAGAAGCTAAAAGGTGTTTATCTAAGTAAAGGCTATCTGCGAATCAAGCTTACATTACATTATAATCCAGAGTATGGTTTCAGATCGGTTCAAAGGTTTTCCCAAAGTGGTCCAATCTCTTTGGCAACTCATTGATTATATTAGGAGATATGATTAATCTTGTTTATCCTTGCACATTATCTCAGCATTTTATTTGTCTAGCATTTTTTTGTTTGTTTAATCAGGTCATTCCTGAATCCTCATTACCACAATCAGTTGTTTTACAAGTTAAGATCAGATTGCTTTACAGAGAAATCTGACCCTGGAACTGAACTGAGGAGGAGAGCCACTTCACTGTATCAACAGCCCTGATCTCTCATCTTTTATGCTGTGGGATTCTTTTATTCCTGTAAAAGCCAGCATCATCGAAGGTCAGATTCACAGACTGCTGTAAAAGACCGCTGTGTTGCAGTGACCACAAATCCCAACTGGACTCGAACCCGAGTGAGATAACCTTTCAGACAGAGACACTATACTGCTGGGGGATCGAAAAACCTCATCAAAAGCATATAAATAGAAAATCCCTTCCCTTTTTATAAGGATTACCAATCAGATACATAGCATTAGATTCAGCACTCAAGCACAGTGTGGCTCGTTGTGTCCATCCCTCTCCGTTCTGAAGTATGCATTAGAGCAGGGGTTTTCAAAGTCAAAGACAGTGGGCCTCCCTTGACATACATGATTGCACTGTATGAACCGTATACACACTGATTCTTTATAAATCCGTCAAAGATATGCAGGCTAATGATTTTCTTTCCCTTTCTTTGATTAACATTAACAGCATAGACGACAGCAGGTAGGCCTATAGAGGCAGGAAGACTGAGCAGCAACATTGGTTTTCAGCGTGAATGCCGCGAAAAACTCACAAAACGCATCTAAAATGGGAAAGAGCTTTGAGATTGAATGAATAAATAGATTTGACTCATTTTGTGTCAAATAGATAATTTTGTGTCAATGTGCTGAATTTTGGAGTAAAATCATACCCTATATATTGTATTGACAACTCGTCAATTAAATATTTACCATCGTATATTCTGCATAATTGGGTGTTTTTAAATAAACTGACAAAATACTATACAAGTTTTAGGGCTGGACAATATGGTGATATTAAGTGATCACCCGGATTTAGACCTACCTATATTGTATTTAAAGCGCTCACAGGCAAATTTGCTTTATGTATTTCCCCCGGCATCCCAATCAGGCACATGTAAATGTCAGGAAACACAATAACTGGCTGCATGTCAATATCCACGGATCACTGGATCTTTGGTAAGTTGTAAGGAACACCATATTGAGTCCAACCTTTTGTTTAAACTGATAATCGTTCGTTTTACTCTCGTTTTCGCAGTTTCCCCTATTAAATCCAGTCATGCAGCAGCTCTTTCCGGCTGGAGGGGCGTGTTCCAGCGGGAAAGTGGCGTCAATACATACCCTCTATATGAGGCTGCTTTCATTTTGAGAACTTATGCATGGATCCAATATAATGTTAATTTCGCTGTTGACTTTCACTTTAAACATAATTGGCTTAGTTTATGTGAATACTCACCAAGATGGTCATTTTGACCGTTCAAGCTCAATAAGCTGGCAAAGTGAACTGAATTCAGAACTCATGGGCTTCGGATGTGCGCCACAGAAAGCCTCCTGTCAGAACAGAATTCAGGTCTCTTTTGTAGTTTTTGCTTGTCCTAACACATCATCAAGCATGTCCTGCTCTTTCTTCTTATCTGTTTTTTTGCTGCTCTGTCGCATCCTGTTAAACAGTTCTGCGCTGCACGGATGTATTTACAAACGGATAAACTATATAGAAAAACCTCTCTTGATTGACATCGCCATATGTCCCTGCCCTGCTCCGTGCCTCCCCTAACATGCTCTCGCACCCCCCTGGGGAGGCGCACCCCGCACTTTGAAAACCCCTGCATTAACATAAACAGTTTTGTTCGACATCTAGCTTGTATCATAACTGTGCTTTTGTCTGTTGCAGATGGATTTTATTTTTTAAATACCCATATCAATTCTCTCTAAGGGTTTTTCCACCCTTTCCTCATCAATATCAGCGATTCGGTTGGATTCGGTATTTTTCTAAGCGAAGCAAAGTCTTAGGCAGCTCTTTAATAATTGCAGAGTCTTTGGAGGTTTTGCATCGCTGCTTTTGCCTCTTCTAACTTCTACTGATTCCCTATTGACTTTGTTCATATTCATGTGTGCAGGGAGAAGATTGCAGAAGTGAACTTCTGACATGTCTTGTGGAGTTTTTTTGGGGTATTTTTGACCCACTTTTTTGTTTTACACATCAGTCTATGTCCCTTCTGCCGTGCATTTCTCAGGCTTTACCACTGGTTCAATAGCTACCATTGATTCACACAAAGTTCTATCCAGTTTTATCAAGATTTTTACAGTATTTACTTTTTCCCCCCCTTTCTGTTTTTTTCTCTCCAAGTTGACATGTACAAGAAAGCCTTTGTCATGGTCTTTTTGTGCCAGTTCCTGACAGGTCCCTCTATGACCTACAAAAGGGTTGAGCCATCATCCGGAAACATCTGGAGCCCTGTTGCAACTGGAACAGTATAAGCATATGAGAGGAGGCTCTCCATAGGGGCTTTTGCACCGGAGGAACACTTTCATAGTTCTTATAACTATTGGTGGAAGTACCAGCTTTTTTGGCGTGTTTGCACCGCAGGAACTGGGAACGACTTTAGTTACAGAATAGTTTACTTCAGAGTAGGGTCTAACTTGGCACAATAAGAACTAATAGTGATGTAAGTGTACGTTGATCGGCAGAATGCATGCCATATGAAACACCGGCAGCCACCATTCTTAAAAAGCCGTGTAAATGGTTTACTTCTTACTCCATGAACTAACTCCACAAACATGGAAAACCGCGATAGACAGCATTTACATGCCACGTTGTTTTCTTATCTCTGCCTCTGATATGTAGAACTGCAAGTTGTCATAGGAGATTTTGTCT